CTGTCTCTCCTGTTCAGTTCTTATCATTATGGGTCTAGATAAGAGTTACTGACTTCCCACCAGTAAATGTTGACCTCTTACTGTCAAGAAGCCTGCTATCTCATGTGACAAACCCCAGATCTCCTGTTCTCTTCTTTCTCATCACCCATGGATTTAACGTGAGTTTGCAAAATGTCAATCCTATCATTGAGGCATGAAAATTGAAAATGCAAAATGGTGATCATGTTACTTATTGTGATAACCCATCTTCCATAGCTGTACTGGGGTTGATGTTTAGATTTGCACTTCATGAGCAAATTGCTTTACTGAGTTGACTTGCATTGCCTGTTGTAGTTTAGAACTTCCAATGGTGCTATGAAAAATTGACTTCTTCTATTCCAGAGCAATCTTTATCCATATTCTTGTAAGTCTGCATTCTGTCAGTCAGAAAGTGAAAGGTTTCTTTTCAATGCCAAAAAGGGAGTTACGTTTCCTCTGATGTGTAATCATTGATAAGACTGTAAGATATGACAGTTCTGTTATCAGTTTTAGATATTCACTTGGAATTTTGCCAATTTCATGTGCAAATTGACTCAAGTTATCAGCCATAGCAGGATAGGCTGTTGCATGCTCAGAAGAGATGCGTGCTCTCTCTTCAGTGAAGGGGAAAGTGGAAATATTCTCATTAGGCCATTGCTTTTGGGAATGATGAAATGGGAAAGGGGTCATTGGATCAAGTTTTCAGTCAGCATCCATGAAGCATGAGTCTGACAGACAAGTGAAGGCAAAAACTGCTGTATTCTGGGGGTTTACTGGGTTTGCCTTCCTCAGACAGGACTCATCTCTGACATTAAAGTTTGTAAAGTTGTGGTCAAAGAACTCGTGTAAGCATCATTTGACCTTCTAGTCATCAATCTATCTGATGCTTCTAACCAAGAACATGTCTTCACTTTCTCCCATAAATAGTGCTTAGAAAATGTTAAGTGAATATTAAAAAGACCGAGGTAGTTTTTTACTAGTGCTTCTCTAGTGTTCCTATTGTGTATTAGGAATCAGGAAGTATTGTATACCTCTTTGCATTTAGTTTGTTTTGGCCTTTTTTTTCATTATTGAATTCACTTCATGGATACTCATTACTATGGGTTCCATTAATTTCAGATTTATTAATGCAGGAGGTCTAAGGTACTTGTCCATAATTCCATTCTAAACTTGTAAAATAACAATTTTTTTGTTATTCTCTCCAGAAAGAGCTTCCAATTGTTTGGGGTGAAATTTGCACCCCTTGTGGTGCCTTTTGAGAGGCGGCGGCAGACGTTTGCTGCAGCTTTTTGGATGATGACATTCCTCTTCTTGGGCCCTTTCACCATCTTCACCTGTTTCCTATTCTTCTTTTACTCTCCCCTTTCATATCTTGTCTTCATATATCCCATTTGGTTTCTATATGATTGGCGAGTCTGTGAGAGGGGTGGCCGAAGGTATGTCACTTCATCTTATGCCATAAATTTATTCTGTGTTACAATCAGTTATTCATATGGTTAATAATAATCCCATGTTCTGGTGGCCAGGGTTCAGTGGATTCGAGAATGGAGATTATGGCGGGATTTTGCTAATTATTTTCCCATAAAGATGGTGAAAACAGCAGAATTGAATCCAGATAAAAACTACATCCTTTGTTGTCATCCCCATGGGATATTGTGTGCTGGTGCATTCTGCTGCTTTTCAACAGAAGGCACAGACTTCTCCAAGACATTCCCTGGGATCACCTCCTACCTCCTTACGATAAAGGAAAATTATTATGTTCCAGGCTTCCGGGAGTTTTTCATGTGTTCAGGTATGGTATTTTATTTAATTCACATTTTAAATTTATTATGAAGTATTCTTTCTCTGACTCCACAAGTCAACAATGCTTTATACATTTTTTTCTCTCATTCTCAGGGGCAGTAGCAGCAACAAAGGCCAGCATGAACTACCTCCTCACAAAGCAGGGAACTGGGAATGCTGTGTGTCTGGTGGTGGGAGGTGCTGCAGAAGCATTAAAGTCTACTCCTCGTGCAGAGGAGCTCCAGGTGATTCTTAAGGAGAGGAAGGGATTTATCAAGATGGCTCTGAGGACAGGGTAACTATCACTTCTTGGAACTGATTCCACATCCTTTCCTATGTTCCTTTCTATCCTTCCTTCAAAATAAGTAATCTAATGTGATATGTATCTTGACAGAGCAAGTTTAGTTCCGGTGTTTGCATTTGGGGAGAATGAGATTTATGATCAAGTGGATAATCCAGAGGGTTCCTGGCTTCGGAAATTCCAGGAGACATGTAGATCATGGATAGGGATGGCTCCTGCCCTCTTCCAAGGGAGAGGATTTTTTCAATATTCCTTTGGCATCATCCCATACCGCAAACCCATCAATGTTGTCAGTGAGTTCCTGGATTTTCAACTCCGTTGTTGTGGACATTCTCCATAGGGTCTTTTTAAGAATATAGGGTCCATAGGTATACTGTCCTGCAATGTCTTTATGGAAATGATGAGGTTCATCAGAACAAAAGATCTCCAAAATTCCTACTACAGTTTAACCTTTTTGGCTTTGAAATGGGTAGTATTTTTGTAAGGCAGATTATCAAGCAGCACTGGTGAAATTTTTCTAAGGGGGGAAGTGAGGGGCTGGAGGGCTGAAAGTTCATAATAGCTGACTGACAGCCCTCTAAATGCATGAGGTGTTTTGTGTCAGGTGGGCCTTGCTCTAAGGAAGACCCTGGTGGAACCCATTTCTTGGTCTGCCAACTATGTAGATGGACTATTTAGTCCTTGTCTCATGGTCTAGGAAGCTTCCTTAAAACAAAGATGATTTTCTGGCATACAGCAATAGATTCACTTTTGCTTGTGGCTCTAACAAAGAATTGTGTCATGTGTGCTGTCAAGCTCACCATTTATGTTGCAGAGGGATATAATCAAGCCCTTGAGAGACTGGCTTTTTTCTTAAATGAAAAGGGATGATTTCCATTTTTGCTCTAGTTGGCTCCCCATTGGATGTGGAGAAGAAGGAGAACCCCAGT